ATATGCATATATACCATATATATATGTATAGATATATATGCATTTAAAACGTATATATATATATATGCATATATAGCACACACACGCACTCGTATATATTTATATATTTATATATATATATGTGTGTGTGTGTGTGTGTGTGTGTGTCTGTGTATGTGTATGTGTGTGTGTGTGTGGTGTGTTTGTGTGTGTGTGTGTGTACGTACGTTTAAGTTGACCTGTTGTATGTTATGTCAGTGTCGAAGCAGCGTGGGTCCACGGGAGGATTTTGCAACCTGATGTGGATACCATCGATACGATAAACATGCAATTATCACGTAGCTTGCAATGGCTACTTGGCTGTGATAGTTTCTGTTAAAAAAAAGTCGTTGCACCTCGATTGTTGCCTGATGTCGCGGATTAATTTGCCACCTAAATACTTATTTAGAACAAAATGCGACAATCGTGTTATACATATATGATAATAGTTAAATTATATATGCACATAAGATGTCTATGTATGCATATATAGTCGAAGAAATTGCTATAGTTAAAGTTATTATACTTGTAGTAGATAACGCTCACCATAAATAATATTTATATCGCCTTGATCATCATGTATTGAGTTGTGGGGTTGGTAGGTTGCACATAATTGGTACACCACTTTACCACCCGAACTATCAATGAGATCAGCTGATACCATGCCTATCACGGACCAAACCACAGATTGCGGCCCTCATCAACGAGAAATACGTGCCGAACGATGTCACAATACTAGAGGATAGCAGATTTTTGGTCATCACAGGTACACTTACCCGCGTGTGGGTTGCACCTATCTTGAGTCTTACGAGAAGACGTGTTTCTCATATACAGTCTTGTCGATTCTTTTCTTATTTTTGTCGCTGCTAACACGCCCACTCGCTGTAGTATCCAAAACCAAAAACGAATCCGACATGTGCATATTGCAATGCGTTCTATTTTCATTTTTTTAACTGTGAAATCGGATCGAAAGAAATTTGATGTATATTGGACCCACACTAATATGCCTCTACACATAACTAATGTACACCTTCCAGGTCCAAACATGGGCGGCAAAAGTTGCTATATGAAGCAAGTAGCTCTTCTCGCCATCATGGCGCAAATCGGTACTGTTTTCTATTCTCTTCTCGTGACGTTTGTATCGCCTTTGTTCTGCATGTCTATCACGCATTACACCAACTGAACACAAACTGTACACTTCATTCGGTATCAGACATGGGGTTCACATACTTCTGATTATTAAAGTTGTGTGGTGTAAAGGTCATCCACTGACTGAGCTTTGGGACTCTACTGTTCAGTGCGGTCTAGTATGGCACACAGTCGCATTTCTCGTATGCTGCAGGCCGGGCTACTTTGTCCTGCAGATATATATTTTTTATATATTAA